CAAAAGACCAAAACCAACAATGGATTGAATCTATTAATAAGCTCTGCCTGTGTAGCCAAAGCCTGACGCAGCTCATTACTCTCTGTGAAATAGTATTTTAAGTTTATGTTTATTTGCACAATTTAATTAGAAATACACAAACATAAAAGAGATAAGAAATAATAAGCAGTGCAGGAAAAAGGATGAAAGCCCACAGGCCTCATAGGGCCCCATTGTTGTTTATAAGCTATTAACGAGACTAAAAATCTGCAACGATGTTGTCAGCTCTCTGAGACTGACAGTACAGCTTTGAGGTAAATGCTAACATGAGCATGCTCACAATAACAATGTTAACATGCTGTTCACCATCTTAGTTTAGCATGTTAGCATGCTAACATTTGACAATTAGCACTAATCACGAAGCTCATGGGACATACCGGCATTGCTCCCTGAAATACCCATCAACATGTGTACTCTCTGTGTATTAGACCATGAGCTGGGGCACTTTGTTTTGATCGTAGTCGAAGGGAACATGTTCTTCAAACATTCCTTGTCGCCAGATACCACGGACTATTGATTTGAGCAGTCAGGTCAACCGAATTTAGCGAATGTCATGAGAAGAAGGACATGAATCATACTGAGTAAAGAACTAGGTAATAGCAGGATTGTCATGCACACGGTGCAAGTAATTTGGTCCAGAAAGCTTCAGCATATAAAGTTTGAAGTTTGAAATAAAGGTGCCACAGGAAAGACTGTGTTAAGAGTCTGAATAAATTGACTTCGGAGCCCTCCAGTATGCATTCTCCCCCTTCAAGCTGACTACAAGTCACTGAAGGGCCACCACAGCACACTGTACTTGTTATTGTTCCCACGACTCTGCCTTAGAGCTAGCAGAAAACCTCAACAATCAGCAGTGCAAGCCTCAGCCCTTATTGAAGGCCTACCTCTCCCGGTGGCCATTATCTTTACTGCCTTGTTACCAGATGGAGCTGGTCAGCTCTGGCACACAAAGCAACCTCGTACATCACCTTTGTGAGCACAGATGGGCCATGAGGAGATGGTTGATATCACATGGAGGGAGGCTGCTCTCATTACAGAGGGAGGCTTGCTGACCGTGTGCAATAGCCACAATGACAAAATGCTCCTGTTGACCCATTAACATACCTTTAACATTAAAGTTTTTTCATACTGCAATAGCCAAAGGCTTTAATGGTGATCACAAAAATAATTGGGGAAAGTGGGCACCCCTGTTTTGTGCTACATTGTAGGTATAGAAGCCCCTCATCTGCAGATGATTGGCTCTTGACAAAGCCTACCATTTCTAGGTGTATTATTGTAGGGAGTATGCTGTCCAGCCTGCCTTAGCAAGTATCTTATCATCTACATTACCAAAAGATCACTCACTCAAGATGACAAACACTATTCAAGGGATTTATGGCTGGAGTAGCCTGATCACTGGGAAAGTGATTTTTCAATATGCATGGATGCACTGAAAGAAGAACTTCCAGGTCTTTCACACTGACTACGTTTACATGCACACTAGTAGACCACCATTATTCCGAATATGACAACATTTTGAATTTGACGTTGCTCATGTAAACATCATATTCCGTTTAGATATTCAGAATTAGGATGAAAGATATGTGGAATATGCCGATATTATTGGGGTTTTAGGAGCATTCTTTGGACATCTATACAGCACATTTGTTAGATGCGTCTCAATAGGGTTTTTTACGTCACTTTGCGACACACAACCTCTTTTCTGTTTACGATCAGCTCTGTGCATTATACACAAAGCAACTAGCCAATAGTAAGCTGGAGTAGAGATGCATGCCCAAAAGAAAAACACAACATTTTTGTATATTTTGACATGATAAACGACATGTTAGGGCATCAACCCCTGTCACACACAGCCGAGAATGGCGCCAACATGGAATTCACTGGCCCCGGTGATGAGGATGCAGTATGGGGTTGTTTTGCATTAATTGTAATATGCACGGCTGCATGTAAAAGGGAATATAAGTGGAATATTAATTTTCATTAACCATATAAACAGCTTATTATGAATATAATTGCTTTTTTCGAAATAAGGACAACAACTTGAATATTTGATGCATGTAAATAGTCACTGGCAGTAGGAAATCCTAGGAGAGACACTGTTACTCAAGTTATTGTTTGAGCCAGCTATTCGGGAGAGGATTTGTAGATTCATCCCCCACTTCATCCCAAAATGGCCTCATTAGAGAGGATTCTTCCTTGGCAGAGTCATTCCTCCTCATACCAACAAACAACACAAAGACGTGTTACTAAAGAGGTATTTGAAGTACTGCCTGCCCTCATTTCTGGCACTCCTCCTCTTGGTATCACGAATCGACCTGAGCACATGATAAATCGAGACAGATCTACGCCCTACCAACTGTTATCATCCTGTTTCTCGGTCTTTTATTCTCTCACTCCTTTTCCCCTCTGTGGGTCTGACCTGGGGGATCCTATTTGAGCGACCAGGCAGCTGTCAACAGTGCAGCCTGGCAGACTGCAGAGGAGACTGAATATGTGATATGCTATTTCTGGGACTCCATAGAATACAAAAATGAAGCTCAGCAGAGGATAAGTCATGCCAGATACTGAACAGGGTAGACGCACAGTGGATGTGTAATCAGGTCATGCTGCCTTATTGTGCCTTAACAACAAGCCACCTTATATCTCTCTGAAAATTGTCACATTGTCATCTCTGTACATCTTTTTTCTATAATTTAGTGTTATGCCATTGCTTTCTGTTTAGCTTACATAAAAAATGTCATAAAATAATGAAAAGGGGGGAGAGTGTGTGTGTGTGTGTGTGGGGTAATGTGTTTAAAAATGTGTTCGTGAGAGAGACAGGGACAAAGGGAGGTAGGAAGGGGAGGGAGAGAGGGAGCCAGAGGAGGAGCATGAGGGAGGGAGAACTGACAGATAGTCACGACAAAATGGGGCATGAGTCATGTTGAATGGTGACGTACGTAGATGGATGGGTCAGGTAAGCAGCACCCATGTCATCACTAATCACTGATCCAGAGGCTGCAGGCAGGCCAAGAATTATACGAGCAATAAAAGGAGGTAAGAATCCTGGATCGATGAGTGCCGTAACTCTCAGTGTTATGTCATTTTCATGGTACATTTTATTGGTTGTTTGATATGGTATCATGTCCCCGAAGCAGAAATTATTGTAAGTCTCTTGAACTATTTTCTCATTGAAGACTTAGTTTCTGCAAGAGGAAATGTTGGTGTGTCGCACTTTTAAAGGAAAGTGCATTATTGTTGCAAAGAAGAAATTACAAAACTTTGTATTCATGATGAAGGTAAGTCTGAAAAATGATGGTAAAAGATGCATCTTAGCATTGCAACATTTTACATTACACAATGCTGGCAAAAATGTGTGGACCGCTAATGCTCGAGTGACTGAATGGGAGCAAATCTCTGCAGCCAGGTTCGAAAATCATGTAGAAACCCAGTGGTTTTGAAATGAGATGGACAAAAAACACATACAAGTATTATTTTAGGTGTCCACATAGTTTTGGTCATAAAGTCTATGTATAATATATCATCTGTAACATTTTCAAAACCCTCCTTTAAAGAAAATACCTATTTTTCTGTGTAGCCCGGCGTATTGCTTCCACTGGCTCGTTTTACATTTTAATACATGTTCATTTATTCTTGTCTCAGATCTTCAGGGATTAAGGAGAAGAAAAGTGAACGAGTGAAAATGGAAAAATAAATGAGATTGGTGATGCAGCTGACTCATGCACTTGGTTTAATGTACTGAATCACAGGCTAAGCACTAAGCAGCTTACAACTGCTTGTTCCTCTGCAGAGCACATATTGTGTTTAAATTCTCAGCAGGATCTTCTCCTGTAGATCAAACAGTGATTGCTCAGAATCTTCAGATCAATATATACGTACATCAACACTTGTTTGGATGTGACCCAGGTATGGATATCTAAATGTAAAAAGACAAAACATCACCAATTTCTAAAGTAGTAGTTTGTATTTTTACTTAACCAGCTACAACGTCCACATAGTCAAAAAAATGTGATTTAAAATGTCAAGGTCTGCGGAGAAAGCATGACCTTTTACAGCATTTCTACAACAAGCGTGTTCATAACATTTATCTTTTAATGCATCACATAGAAAAAGCTGGTCCTATCTAAGAAGACGAGGGCTGGGGACTGAACCTCATGAGATCAAATGTAATTAACTTAGAATAAACAATAAAAAATGACAATAAGATATCCAAATTATATCTCTTTGATTTGGTTTAGCTATCTCAATTTGGTTGTGTTTCGTATACATATCGTCATTGTTTGGGCCATAGATATGGATTATCTGCCCACGTCTGTGTTTGCATGTGTGTGGTTGCGAGCGGACATTGCAGTCATTTTATTATTAAATCAACAGGCAAGATAAAAGGCTCCTTTACCCACACTGAATAGCAGGTGGAGAAAAAAAACCCTGACGGCAGTCTGAGAGCAGCATTATCTGAGAGGACAAATCCAATCACAGGGCCAATTAACATGAGGTCCCTATTTTATAGCTCATAACTTCTAGACATTAGAGTGTAATATCTCTATGTGGTTGCTGGGTGTAAAGATGAAATATCAAAAACAGACTAAATAGTTCAGCTGTATTATAAATGTCTTTAATATTTATCCAGTTTTGTATCAAATTACCTATAAACATGCACAATATTATATTTGTATCATCAGGGGAATGAAAGGTCTTTTTGTATCTTATAAAGCAAAGTGATAACGTGTCCCTTTGTGTGTGTATCATTTAAATAACTGCTCTTTTTAGTGGAATGCTAGTTTGAAAGTATCTAATTTAAAGGAATAGATCAACATTTTGTCAAAGAGTTAGATGAGAAGATTGATACCAGTTCACTTAAGTTAGCTTAGCATAAAGACAAACAGTGAAAATTACAGTAATAGATATAGATATGGGCCTAAACTGTGTTTGTTTAATCCATAAAAAAACAAATTTTGAAATGCACAAATTGTGGTTTTACAGATTTAACAGACAATATGTCATTAAATGAGCTTCAGAGGTGCTGGTAGGCAGATTGTGTTACTTTCAGAGCCAGCCTACAGTAGCTGTTTCCCCCTGTTTCCAGTCATTATGCTAAGCTAAGCTAACGGGTTGCTGGCCACAGATGAGACTAATGTTGATCTTCTCGTTAAAGTATTGGCAACAAAAAAAATTGAACAATTTCTTTTGAGACATATATCAAAAAGATACTTGGACAATGCTAGCTCACTATGTCACAGCTACTTTAGCTGTTTCCAGCCTTTGTGCTAAATTAAGCTAACCTGCTTAGCCAGCCCTTTAGCGTTTAGATACGAGCGTGGTAGCATTATTCTCATCTAACTCTTTGTATAGAAACAAACTCAAAATAGACTTAAGTTAAACAATTTCCCAAGAAGGAAGTCATAAGATAAGACACTGGGAAAAAAGCTAGGGTTTTGTATTTTTTATTCAGCAGTCACACATCAATGTTGAGTTTCTTGCACACCCTTTTGGAAGCTTTCGAGACCCCTGAGTCCACATCCAGCTGCTCATGCTCCATTTATAATCTCATACGGTTTGATGCATCCTCATCCTGTTCACTTCTTAACCAAAATCGCCCCACTGCTGAGGAACATGCAGACGTAAGACAGCAAACTGCCAGAGGCCATTACTTACTGCATAGATCCTACTTTGCCTTTTCGATCAATTGAGTGCTTGCAGTTCTTAGAGGTTATCAAGGGATCAGCAGCGAGGGGAAGGAGAGGTCACCACAAATGTGGTCACGGATGGGATTAGTAATGTAACACTATGTATTTTTAATAAAGCAGCACATAAAGTTGGATACTGTGTTGCGGGTTATACACTACGTGTATCCATTATTCATGTTTTTGTGGGGTCAAGCTTGAAAGCTGCATTTTGATGATATGTTACTTTAACTGTGATCTCTGAATTTACATATAGGGATAATTTAACAGATTTGTTATTTTTGAAGAAAGAATAAAAGGATCTTCTGAAGCTCCAAGACAGAGGAACGCTGATTTTTCTTAATTCACTCCTTATTTTTTTAAATGTAAATTTGTTGTGTACCACACTGTCTCAATATATTCTCAAATCAAACAGATGGTGTCTGCCAGAGGTATGAACATATCACGTATAGCTGTGACTGCAGCAGAAGATTATACGTACATTAAAAGCTGAACACGAGTGGAGATTTTCTCTCCACATCTCTTACTGCAGTTGCATGCTGCCTGAAATGTCACGATGGGAATCTAGGGGCTGGGGAAATGGCAATGGAAAGGATGAGAAGAATCAGCAGCTGCCAGCTTGTTAACTTCAGGCCACATTGGTGGAGTGACGCCTACACGATGAGCTACATTATGGTGCTACGTGGAAAGAAACAACAACCTTTGAACCTTAGCTCCCTGCACAGCAGGACACCTTTAAATTCAACCCTGCCTTTTACCCCAGCGACATTTAAGAACACTGAGCACTTAGAAGCTAAATCTTTGTATAGCTGGTCCCTCAAAAATCAATTGCAAAATCAATATGAGGTAAGAAAGAGACAATCTCATGAATGTTCAGACATTTTGCAGCACCCTGTAATTATCTCCTTCATGTGATTTCCAGTTGCCATAGGGACAGAGACAATGCAATCAATTAAACCACACGTGTTGGTCTGTTGGAGATATAAAAAAACAGTTTCCACGAGAAAAATAGTATTATTATAGTGCTTTTGCACTGGAAAGCTGCACTTAATGGAAACTACTCGAATCAAACACACATACTTTTTTTCTTTTTTAGTTTTACATAATCAAGATGTGCTTATGCAACTTTCCTAAGACTAATTAATATGACAGAGAGCGACTTGGTTAATGCGAAGACATTAATTAACCTCTTTGCCGTTATTACAACTGTATCATATGTGATAATGCCTTGTCCACAGAGGTGAAGTGCATGCAGGGAACACAATGTACTGAGGAGAAATTACCATCTGCATCAGTGAGGCACTCCTTCTCGTGCCTTGTGCCTTCATCTACATGCTTGTGTGACACGTGTGTCTGCCGGCAGAGCTGGAACACTGAAGAGACCCAGTCACATTGTCAGAGGACGCGAGATGACCACAGTGGAAAGTTGCCATCAGCACTTTGAAAGCCCCTCCACAAACACACACACACATGCACGCACACAAACACACATCCAGATGCATGCACACACTCAATGCGCTCTCCAACTCTTGAATGTGATGGGCAGGTGTTGACAGTAGGAGCCGCTGATGACTCACCACCAGATGAGTGATCAGCCGGCTCAGCCTGAGTCACCTGAGTGTTCTGATCTTCATTTATCACAGTAATTGCAGCCACAGGTGGAGGCGGTGGCCTGGACCCACCTGCCATTCTCTGTTTGCCTCTCACTCTGTAAATATAGTCTTCATTTCATGTGTTGGCTTTGTACAAAGACAGACATCACCTCCTCTTGTCCCTATAGACACACAAAGCTGAATTATGCCAATCTGCCAATGCGACGCCTGCCCATTCATAGAATTACTATAATTATGATACATTGCTAACTTCAACTGATGGCTGTTCACGTAAACTCTAATATTAATTTAATGGGTTGCGTAACAAATGGCCCCTGATTTCATGGAGCTTTTAAGGGTGCATTAGTAATGTGGATGAAGGCAGAATTGGAGAGCTCTTAACTATTTAAAAGCAGGAAGAAGAGGAGCGTAAGGCTTTCACACAGCAGGAGAAAAGCACAGTGGCCATTTTCTTTCCCGTCACGCTCTGCAAAGTAATTACAGAAAAAAGGCATTCTCAAAGGGAGGTGTTTGTGCAGCTCAGCTGTTGTTGGTGAATGTGGTTCTGGCCTGACCTGATAACAGCACTTTTTCACTTTAATACACATGCATTGCATATTTCACCCACACACACAACATTTTCCACCGAGTTACTGTCATTGTGGTCATTGTTTTCATTGGCTCTCTTGTGTGCTTCCCTGCAATTTTCATCCCCTACCAACTCTGCCTGATTGTTAAGACTCTCCATGTCTGGGGGCTCAGGTTTTGTCATAATAATGTGTGCACAGAGCCGCAGCAAAAGCTACCTCTATCAACCTTTAGATGCTTACATAAGCATCGCTTGCCTACAGATATTCACATTAGTTATTTATCACTCAGAATTGTTTTTTGTTGATATATTCTGCTTTTTGATCCTGTGTAGCTGACTGAACAGAGCAGAAAATCTTGTTAGAGTATCCATCAAAATCACATATTTTCAGTTATGGTGCCATATACTTAGATACAATGCTCAAACGAATTAAGAGTATTGACGTACTTGCACACGTCCAACAGCTCGACTAAATAATGTTTTACATTTTTAATCTGTTTTTTGTATCCCCGTCTCCCTCTCTTCCCACGAGACGGTGCCTCCATTTTGCTCTGAAAAGCAGACGCAGTTCATTCCCCTCCACCACACGGACAGCACCACCCTGCAGAAACACACCTCTTCAGACCTATCATCAGGTAGATCAGTGCCTTTTCTGGCCCGACAGTGACGCAAGCTGCACACATTGCGCTGTCAAATTCAGACATCATCATCTGTTTATGAACACATGCACATGCAGAGCAGAGCCAAGGATGATTGAAGGAGCCACAATTGGAAATAAGTGAGCTGGGGCTGTTTGTGTAAGTGGATGATAAATCATGTGACTGAGGTTTTTATTCATCAACAAAGGACAATCGGGCCCAGAATGCATTGTGAACATGATATTGCCATTATGAAGAATTGATTTGGTTGGATGTGCTGTGGAACGCTGACATCACAACTAGGATTTTTGGAAATAAGAGAGCATAATAATATGTCTGCAGCTGCGTTGTTTGTAAACTGCAAACCACCTACACTGTGTCGTGCTACAGTTTCAAATCCTCGCCTAACAATGACACTAATCGTTTCCAGATGACAAAAACATTACCCCAGTGTTTCTGAGAGTCAGGCTAATCCCAAACAATATTTTTCCTTTAGCGAATTGCATGCAACATTGTGCGCATGTTCCTATATGATGACGGAGGAGGGCCAAAGCCAAGCATGCATTTCCCCGTGGGTTGATGGTTAACACCAAGAGACAGCTCCCTATCGGGTCAAAACCAAGCCTGGGTAGTGGTGGCGATGTCACATCCAATGTGTCACAGACACAGAAGAACAGAAGGGAACGTACCGAGTTGTGTTCCCCCATCCACTCATATTCACTATGAGAGGCTGAGCCAAACCTTTACCCCGCTGTCTCATCTGCCTCTCAACAGAACAAAAGGGCTTCCTGATCAGGGAGAGAAAAAAGTGAGAAAATTCGGAGTAAAAAAACGTCTGCCAGCTCGACGAAACTGCAGCTGCTTTATATTTTTTGAGCACTTGGTAGGAAAAGTTGTCAAAACAAAACCGTTTATTTGTAGTTTTTGCTCTGCCAGGATGAAAGTAGCAGTCCTGCAATGGTAATAAAGGAGCAATATTTCTCATTTTCTTAAAGGTTCACGGGTGCGGCTAGCTTACGGCAGCTAACGGCTACGTTTAGCAGAAGGGTAAACTATTAGCAACATTTTCTCTCCAACCCTCAAATAGTTTAGCCTTCAGCTAACTGTAGCCGAGCTGTGCAGCCCCAACTGATGATATTGCAGCTCACTGAAATCTTGAATCGCAGTATGTCATCTCAAATGGCTTTACAGGCCCACACGTTTGCAAAGAAAACAGGGTGGTAATTCTCAATTGCCACCATATAAGGGCATCAGGATCACAATCACGATCGGGATGATGTTTGACATGACGGACTACTAGTACCCGTACGGGTTACTGTATGAAGCGTGTGCATATCCCCACGTTCGTCTGGTGTGAGTGGCGTCACAGCTGGAGGAAAGCTGCACGATAAGGGTTGCATTTTCAGAATTTTTTTTCAGAATGATTTCAAAAGTAAACTGCCTACCCCAGCTTTAAGAAAAGCATCTGAAAGACATTGGATGATAATTGAAGAAGCAACTTGATTTTGACAAATTGCACACCGTGGTGGTTTTTAAAGCAGTGACAAAAATATGGCATGCATAATAGTGAAGTCATTATTTTTGGGTTAAGACACTTGGAGCCACAGTAGCAGATGGGGGCAGATTTGACATCAGCAGGGTCATCCTGACAGTAGAACAATGTGTGCTGTCTTGTGTGGCCTGATCCTCACCCCTACTGAATGGCAATTAGTATTTGAAATAAAGCAGGGTACCCTCCTAACCGCCTTATTGGCTGCTGCATCCTATTTGCTTTATCTCTTGATCTGTTGTCACCAGGAAACCAGCACAAATTGTACAAGATTTAAGATTTACTTTTAGCAATGTTGCTGCTTAAGGCAGGGGAAATGTGTTAGGGAGTGAGAGGTGACAACAATCACAGACGGGGATGCAGCTGAGAATTGCGAGACAGCTGCTTTTAGATAAAATAATCATACTGGATGTTTTTGGAAGTCTATTTAACCACACATGGGATGGAAAGGTTGGTTAGTCGGTCCACCACTTTCCAGACTGAAATACCTCAACGACTATTGGATGGATTGACATTAAATATTTTACACACACCCATGGTGCCCAGAGGATGAATCCTATTGACTTTGATTCCCTGACTCACATCTAGCTCCAGCAACAGGTCAAAAGCTAATCTTATCCAGTGGAAATGTCAATATCTAACTAATGGATAGACAATAGTTTTTATAGATGTTAATGGTTCCCAGACAATGTATCCTATATTTAGCCATCATGATGTTGAAGTCTGTGGTTTTGATTGAAATGTCTCGACAACTGTTGGATGGGTTGCCATGAAATTCGGTACATTCGTGTCCAGCTGTGGATGAAGAGTAATAACCGAGTTGATCCCCTAACTTTTCATGGAGTGCAATCATCAGATCTCAATTTTGTCAAATACTTTGTTTTATGACCTAATACTTGCAAAACCAATGGAATTCTCATCAGCCTCAGCTGTACTTCATCAATAGTGTTTTCCTGAGTGTCCTCATCAGAAAAAAAACCATAATTGGCCAGTTGTTACTGCTTTCTGCACAAATAGCAGCCAACATATAGCCAGCTGATAATGACTGTAGGAGATGAAAACAACCTAATATATTCAGGCTCCACAGAATTATAGTCCCCCATGCATAAATTAATATAACGACCTGAACATTGGTGGTGCAATAGACGGCAGTCACAGAGATTATTCCCAGGCTCTGCTGTGCACACTGTGAGGAACACTGCATGGCATTTGTATTAAAATACAGCTGCCAGCACTTCCAAATATAGGCTACATTGCATGAAAATATCTGTAATTAGGGTGGGACTGTGGCATAAACAGAAAATAGAAGTTTGTAAGTGTGGTGGGGCTTTGTGCCCACATATATGAACCAGCAAATGGCTGTTTACGGGGTCTGTGAATTGCCATATTTAATATAATTTCACTTGAGTATGCCAATTTAACCGTTTCAAGTGTCAACCCTGCATATTCACATCAGTCAGAGGATAAAAAGGCAAGATGTCCTTTTAAGTGGAGACGCGTGTCCACTGTGGTAGAAACAATTATTCGCTCGTTTTTTCTCTCTCTATACCTCATCATTTCCCTCCATCCATGCACCCCCCTCCCTTCTTTCTCCTAGTTATTTCTCTTCACAATTCGTCATGCTGTAACGACGGGCTGAGGCATCGGGCACTATTCCGGTGCCTGTGAGCCGAGCCTCTCAGGGGTTGAGATAAAGCTCAGCTGACAAGTGGGTTCATCTGCGTCACAGTGTCCTTTGAAACAGTCGCAGAAAAGGGAGAAAATGAAGGCGAAGCATGTTCCTCCAGAGGTGGGCCCCTTTATACTTCACCTCTCGACTTCCCCCGGCACACAGCTGCTGGCTTTTGCCTCAGGCTGCTTCCTCAAATAAAGCTATCTTCACGTTGCAAATATAACATGGAGGCAATGCAATGAAACAGCGTAAAAAAAAGAAGAAAAAGCTGTGTACTGTTGATTTGAGAAGCTTGAGGCATTATTTTTCATTGCTACTATTACATGTCAGTGTGTAGGCAGAGTTACAGCTACTGAGCTGCTCACATATTCATCTCAGAAATATAGTCCTGCGTTTGACACACATACAGGTGTTTCAGAGGAAGGCTTCATAAGAACACCACTCACTCTGCTGGATGAAGACAAACGCATCTCCCTCTCGCCTTTCTTCCCACACAGTCTTCTCTCCTTTAATGCCCATCCCCCCCCTCCCCCCTCCATCTTCCAACTGAGGAGGGGCCCGTTAAATAATTGAGGGGTATTCCCCCTCTATTACTGTAGCTTTCCTGCATCTCACTAATATTTGGTTATTCTGATATAGAATTACAAAGGATACAAATAGAGATATTGAGGATGATTTGTAATGTGTGTGTATGTTATAATTAATGGTTGGTGCTGCATGCATGTAAGAACACAAGCATCCTCAGGGGGTGAGATAAAGAAAAGCTAAATAAAATGAAAACATAGGTCTTTACATCATGAACAAGAGAACCATCATTACCAATTCAGAATTATTTTTGCTTCCGATTACATTTTGAAGAGGGCTTTTCCAGCAGGTAACATACGTATTGCCAAAGCTGAACCTATGCAGCATTGGAAGATATGAATGGTACAAATGATGCATCATGTCACCGGGTCTGTGAGGCATCAGTGCTGTCAAGTTTCCCTCACTAATGCAAGCTGCTTCTGTTCTGCTATAGATCGGACAAACAGATCCCTGAAGAGTTCATAGAGGAGATGAGATTTTTGCAGAAACATAGTACAGCTTCATGTCTCCATTCATTATTCCTAATACGATACAGACCACTGAGAATTTGACAGCAATTTTGAAGCTGCAATGGCAGAAAATTGAAGCTTTCCTGGTCGGGATCTATAATGAGGTGTTTGCTGACACCTGCTGTCTCAAAGCAGGAAGTAACATCAACTTTTATTTGTATTTTTATAGAGTGAATATACGTCTATATATCCTACTATGCGATATGTATGAGCTGTTGCTTTATCCTCTCTTCAGTGGTTAAACTACACTAAAAGCTGAGACTTAATCATTCTAATTATGCAAACATCTAGCAGAGTAAAAATAAATAAATCAGACTACCGCAGGTTAATCTTGAGCATATCCATTTTTTATAAATAATTGAATAGTTTTGTCCATCCATAAAAATCAGAAACATAATTTAATTAAAATCTGTATAAAGAGAAGAAACAGAAAACAATGAGAGAGCTGCATCAAACACGGCTCACTCATTTACACCAGTCAACAGTCAAACCTACACATAAGAAAGGCAGATTCTTTAAAATGAGACGCAAGGCAAAGTGGCTTAAATGTTAAATGCCTGAGATTAAAAGAATCTGTTCACACGTACTCATCTCAAACTCAAAAATTAAAAAACCTCCACCCCAAATAAAACCACATGATGAATCTGTGTGAACTCCAGCTCAAACTTTCTTTTTCTAACAGTGTTTCAAACTACTTCAGCAGGTGAGAGCAACCAGACAAAAATGACTTTATAGTCATATATTATTCACCTTTGTTGTTTTAGTGCAAACTACGACGATTTTAAACAGCAACTAAGGCTTCATCCTGCTTGATGTTGAGACAGTTTGCCTAAATTAAAGAGTACATTCATCTTGTATTAACCTTCTTTCCTGTCAACATACCATCTCTCTAAAATGTGCAATTCAGCATGCAGCAATGCTACCTGGATATAAATAAACTCTTGGAAATGAAAAGATAGTTCCATTGATGCAACTTACAATCATAAAGGAAGCGTTCTGTATCCTAATGTGCTCTAAATCCCCTCTAATGCAACGAGCATCAGTTATGAGTTGAACAGGTTTCTTATACTCTGGTCCTCCTAACTGTCTGACGCGGCAGCAGGCTCAGCCGTCTCTTCCTCCATCATATTCACTGAGCCTGAGGGCTCAGAACTACTATTTTGCACCTCTGGGATACTCGCGTCACTCGGGTTCTCTGTGGTGATTTCAAGGCCTGCGAGGTCATCTGCAGTCTCTCTGCTCAGGGAAGTGTTAGTGATCCGGTCAATTACATCCTCCTGCTCAGACTCCTGGATGTCTGATTCCTCTTCCCTCTCTGGGGATGAAGGTCTTTGGTCAACAGATGAGGTATCTGTAAAAAAAATACATACATAGACAAGCAGTTAGAGGAAACCTACACCTCAGGATACTTGTAAAACCGGGACAATGTTTTAGAAATACGCTGCTATTGCTTTTTCTAGTTGTGTTTCACACACATTCATATATCTATCATTTGGGAGGATTATTATTATGTGATAAAAGTAGAAAATAGTTCACCAACTGAGTCATTAAATGAACCCAGACATGCAAACAATAGCTGGTTTTAAACTGGGGTTTTTTTCATGTAATTGTTTCAATCAGCTGCACAATTCAATCAGTTGTAGAGGTACTTACCAAAGCTACACTGATCCCCAGAGTCGTCTCCATAATTAGCAAACATGGAGCTCTGGCCCATGTCACTGGTGGAAACCGTGTCTGAAAAGTCTGGAGTCACTGCTTTGGGTATGTTGGAAATATCTGCAATTCATACATTTTATTCTGTGTGAAAACAGGTCAACTGAATCAGACCATGAAAACAAATGAATGCTTCTTAAAATAGTATTACCCAAGTCCACAGCTGGCCGAGTAGACGAGGGCACACGCATGTCCTGCACAGCTCCTTCGATTTGACTCAAATCTATTTCACTGACGATAGAGTGGCTACATGCATCCACGGAAGGCACCTGGTAAGAGAGAACTGTGTTTAAGAAAAGGGAAAAAACTATCCAACTACCAAGGGACGTTTAAGATAATATAGATGTGATAACATGTACCTCAGTGTGGTCGCTTGCAACCAGCACTTCACTGTTGTCGATCACAGTGGATTGAGGCTGAGCTGCACGAGTTGGGATTCTGTGCAAGTAGCCATAGCCAATGCCACAGCCTAAGCTACAATCCAAGACAAACAAAACAAGGGTTATTATTATAAATGGTTTATTGTGTCTGTACATACACTGTACATAATGCCTACCTTCCCCCTCCTCCCCATGCTCCATTCGGAGTCACCACTACCTCTCTGCATTGGTCAGTCTGTGTGTTGTACACCAGCAGCTTCAGAGGTTTCCCCTCACAGGCTTCAATTAAAGAAAAGAAATCCTCTGACTGCAACACAACAAAGACAGGAATTTAAGATGTTGCACTGCATTTGTTCATGAATGCTAGTATCCTAATATATCCATTAATATGACCAAAAAAACAACAACTTACATCTTGCAACACCTGGTCAGCTCCTACAATGAAGTCATCGTGAGCAATAAGGCCGGCCAACGCTGCAGGAGAATTGGTTTCCACATCCTGAAAGGGGATAATGATGAAGGAATTTATATTTAAAAATCACTATATGTGAATCTATGTTGGACAATAACAATTTTTCCATTTGGTGGTACCCTATTGAGAGGTAACAATCTTGCAAGTACATAACTTTATTAATGGTTAGGATCCCCTGGCTAGAACAATAAACAGTTTTTATATCAGGGCAGCAAGAGTTAAACAGAGAAAGTTAAAGAATTGCCCGTATTAGGGCTAGACTTGACTTACCAGGACGTGCCAAACGTTCTCATTGGCTCCTTCGAAGCTGCAGAAGCGGACGCTGGCGCCCAGTAGACCCTGACCACCCCACATGTTACTGGGTATCACCTCCAGTTCCTTCACCCGCTGTGTTTTAGAGTTGTACACTTCAAGTTTCACTGCTTTCTCCACATTGGCTTTTAGAAGATCTTTCAGCAAGTCACTTTCTTTACTCTGGAGAAACAAGAGAAATGTGGAATTTTCCAGCTGAGTCAGCGCAAGAAGAACATGAAATGAGATTAAAGCAGACTGTATGGCCCAGGTTATAATTCAGGCTTGATGTTTAAATGTTATTGTTGGGAACCAAAAAAAAAATGGATGTCAAGCTTGCACAGAAGGACACAATGTACCTTTAAACAGTCCAATAGGGACCAGACCAAAACAAAGAAGGTAATCTTTGGTGTCCTGTAAAAGAGTATATAAAACTACAACTTCACATGAGACTTAAGACAGTTGACAAACATCTATCGTCCTCATCGTGTAAATGGTTAACAACATTTCTTACATCAACATCCACTTGTTGCAGGGGAGAAAGGGTCCCGAGAGCTACTCCAAATACAACAGCCTAGGTAACTCATTGACCGTAAAATCCAACACGTCTAATGGTGTGCGTCTGTCTGTGCTTCATAACTAATACTAGTGTGCACTAGGGCCCGTCATAGTGTGCACAGGGGCCCATTGGTGGAGAGTGGACATGCCAAACATGCGATACACTGAAGCCTCACAGGAGTCTACTCACAAGTCGTGTATTCCCGATGGAGAGAATGAAGTCAAAGAAGGGCTCCAGACCAGCCCTCAGAGCTGGCGAGTCCTCTTGAACCTGAAATATGATACAAACACATATGAGACTTGGCCATGGACGTATGGCTGATTTGACATAAAGGCTACAGTGTTATAGTCGCCCCCATGTGTCAACTAAAGATATTGCATCGGCCAGAATTTGGGGAGCTTTCTTGAGAGATATCGCACCGTCGGTGTGTTCCTCACATGGTTGATAGGTTGACATGCAACTGTATAATTTATGCTTCGGCTACTAGTATCAATTACAGTGTCTAGTAAAAGCTCGATAATAGTCTGGGTGGGTGCCAAGTGCCACCTCATCATGGGCGAGGACACCATTAATGGCGTCACGAGTTACAATACGTACAGAATAACCGGACAATTAGAAACTAGTGACTTGTGTTTCAGCACAGATAAATGCAGCAACATTTGTCCAGGACTGACATAGACTAGTGAGCAAGTAAGTGACTGAAGATGGGTAAAAAATTAGCTGTAACGTTAGGGACAAACCTAGTGCTGACCTTGCACTATACGTACCCCGTGGACATGATATCCAGTGTGGGTTCCCCCGTCCGACAAAAACGAGCTCTGCGGCAACCCCATTGCCCTCGATAGTGTATTTAACTAAGCAATACAGACACTGACTTTACTGTCACCGAGGTAGAGCAATGTTAGAAGTCATTGCTAAAGGCTACAGCCGAGGCACGTTGTGACAGCAGCCCCGCTTCCGAGCTAGGCACAGCGAATAAATAAAGATGTCAGAATCATCGAGCCTGGACTGAGAATGATCGCCATGAGGATATCGAGCAATCGGTGGTTGATTAACCGTCCTTGCATGCGTTTTTGGGGGTTTTACATTCAGGGAAAAATGTCATTGTCCGCAAAACATTTGGATATTTAATACAACTCATCAATGTGTTTGGTAGTTACATATAACATGCTTGGAAATCAGGCATAAAAACTCAGACACTGTATCTGATTTGAAGAGTTTCACATGGGAACAGCTCATATGTTGGTTACATAGTTGGGCCATTCTACCGAATTGGTTCAAAGTGAGGTTGGAAATATTTTAAAATGTTGTATGTTTTATTCCCAAAACTTTGTCCGTATATATATTGTACCATATCTAAAGTACACATATCTAGTAAAAGAACCGTCAATTTTTATATGGTATTTTCAGACTGTGTTGGAATGTTTTTCCTCTCCCAAAAAGTGTCACTACCGAAACATAGTATAATACACTATAGTAAAAATGTATTATTATTAACCTGTTAAGATTGTGTTTCCTTCCCTTCTCTGAAGAGTATTTTTACAAATATTTCTTGAAGGTTTTCACAATTAAATCAATAAAAATGAGATTTGTACCAAATTTCTAAGTTAAATTTATACAATTCATCAAAATCTAAATGCAATATTTCTTTGTAAAATGCATAATACTGATCATATTGATTCCAGAGTTGATGATTGATACAATTGAACATACATTAAACCAATCAGTATCATAACATTTTAGTTGATAACTCAATATACTTTGAGTTATCAACTAAACAGTGGATGTTTTTTACAAAAACATCCACTGTTTAGGTTGTGACCACAGTATTTTGTTTGCAAGGTTGTGTCATATTTCCTCAACCTTATTGCTTAATCTTAACTCATAACATGCCTTAGGTTGGGAATATTACAAACACAAATGTTTTGTGGTCAATAGAATAATTTTATTTTTGAAGACATAACAATTGTTCATCCAGAACCATTTAAAGTACAAACATTACTTATCAATGGAAAATTACCGAAGTGGGTTCAGTAAAAGAGAACAAGAAAACAGTGACAAATACCTGATATTATGTTGTACTGTATGTTTAAGGGGGTTCAGTGTCAGACACCATCACAAATACATTCACAAATTTAGTTTTTCACATACTGCGGTGAACACTCTTGGGCTGATCTGGACATGCCTCTGTGTGACGTTTTCTGGTGGAGGGATTAAAGTGACGACCTTGTCCTCTAGTCGCGGTCAATAAAAGCGATTTCGCCCAATGTTGTGCATGACTTTGACCTCAAGGGCACCTGCAGACAGATAACGGGTAAAATAAAAGGACATTGGGCGAGATATGATAAGTATTGCTTGTATTGGAATCTTATAAGACTATTAAATAAAGTTTGATTCAAAGGGAATGGGAATATGAGAACGGAAGATGGCCAAGTGAGAATGAATGGAAAGAGGGACTTTACCATATGTTTCGGTAGTGACTGTTTCGGTAGTGACAATTCCAGCTAACTTTGAGCATAACTAAAGAATGCTAGCAAGCGGATGGCTAGCATACACGTATTTGAAGAGGTGTACACACATAAAAACATAATACTTTGCATTAAGCCCCAAAAAGTTTACTTAATTGAAGAGAATATGTGTTCGGTAGTGACAATTCTTAAGGTTACACGCCGATTTTCAGACTTTGGAACACATTTATATCAAAAGTATGGGATTTAGCTACTTACCATTCAGCCATAAGGGACAGGGATGCAGTGTCACTGCCTGGTCAAAAATGCAGGCACAGCCAATGGACTAAAACTCTTGTGTTTCGGTAGTGACATGAAAACTGGGGACATGATTTTTTGGGTATAGTTTTTTAATTTTAAAATTAAACCCACAATAAATCTAAATCTTACAACTTCTGTTTAAACTTAATCATAAAGATCTTTGAAATTACACCATTGAACAAAATCTAAAAATTGTTTTAAGTGTTATTTACAGAAATTGAAATTTAGATGTCAGGGTTGGGGACAGCTACTTCCCAATAGAAAGTACCCTATAAATGATGATTTTGTATATATTTAGCTTATCACTATCGAACTTAATGCCTTGGGTTTAAATAGACCATAACACATTCTTATTAAATATCTATGTCTGAATACTTAATTGTTTTGTTAAATAGTTTTTGTTGTTGGGGGACAGCACTTTGAACGAATTCGGTAGAATGGCCCAGTTATGTTCCAAGGGAGAAAACAAACCTACACGCTTAACCTAAATTGTTTGCTTATCTCCCATGTTGCATTGGTTTACAAGGATAGGATCTTATTCTAGCACAAAAGACAGTGAGCGTTTTACAGCTGCATTGATGAAAATGTACTAATTTGGTTAGACGAAGGAATACTGACTGCATGTGTTATGCAGCCCCGGATAAAGTTTTATATCACTAATATATTCTCCACAGAAAACAGACATGCAAAACGGAATAACATAATAATAACAACAATGATGATAGTAATGTTTGCAATTTAACAGATTATATTTGATCTTGTAAAATGCTACCTCCAGAAATGTCAATATGTATCTGAACTTTTAAATGCATATAGTTAATTATGTTTGTACAAGGCCGATATAAGTACACATCTGTATCTTCCACTGAAATCTGCCTGTTCTTCACAATATAATATTGAATAACATCATATACTGTTAGCGGGCTGTGGAGCATATTTTGCTGTTCAGTGGCTGTGGATCAGTTTGAACAGTTATCTGTGGGAAAATGTGTGTTTGCTCTTTTTGGAGGGCTTAGATAGATGAGTTTGGCTGTGTGTGAATGCACCTGCTCTTTTCCCACCATGATAAGAAAAAAGTATGAGCGCTTGTTTTTAAAGTTTCCTAAAAAATAAAAATGCAACTACAATGATTATATAATTAAATGGATTTTGAGAGATTTATATGGTTTCTGACTACCTGTATATAAACATTTTTCCAATCTTTTCCCCATTCCTCACTACAACATGACATTGCTCATTCGATCTGGAATTATCCGCATGGATTTCTGATGTTGGCAGGTAACTTAACGGTTGCATAATACTTTCTGAAGGTCGTCCAGTCTCAAACTGATATAAATAGTGAAAAGCAAACCATCTGGTCCACAGTGCTCCAACATGATTTGGCTTGTGGCTTTTCTGTCCTGCATTGGTAAGTTTTTCAAGAAATATACAGACATGCTTTTCAATAGACCTTTTCAGTGCTATTACTGTCACCAATGGACTCTCTGGTCATGCTCATCTCTGCACCAAAGGGCTGATTTGTGCTGAAACACCCTTCAACCATAATGTGCACAATGAGAGGGTCATAGGAGGCCATGATGCCCAACCCAACACCTGGAGATGGCAGGTGAAAATGCACTACTTTAAAAAACTATTTCCTTTACAGTGGTTCTATACAAGTATGGTCCTTTTTGTGACAATACGATCCAGTAAATTTCTTATTTCTTATTGAGCAAATAGGCTCAGCATTGCGCTGCTAGACCTCATCATACTGAGGAATGATGTGTATTTGTTCTCTGTTTTCTCTCAGGCTTCTCTCCAGTTAGATTCATACAATGACGGTTCATTCTACCACATCTGTGGAGGCTCTATCATTGATGGTTTCTACATTCTGACTGCAGCTCACTGTATCCTCAGGTTGGGTCTCTCACTGTCCTCATTGACATCAATACACATTCAACAGAATGCACTGAATAGCCAGGAACAAACGCCGCCAATCCTGTTCTGCCTATTCCTTGTCCGCTGGATACATGATAAGTAAGCATAGTTTGTCTTTATTTCTTACTTTCCTGTCAGCGTGGATCCTAGTCTGTACCGTGTGGTGGTGGGTGAGTATGACCTGTATGAGGATGACGGCAGTGAGCAGTTCATCCGTGTGGAAATGATTTCTGTCCATCCTGGCTGGACCGGAGACCTTGGCAAAGGGTAAAATGAAAACAAGTCAGACCGCTTCTCTTACTTTAGCCACTCAAAAGCACACTTGTATTGACAGCAGTGGCCCACGGGGATAGTTTCAGGGGCATCACTAGTATTCACATTTACAACTGGGAGCAATCCTGTATTACCACTTTCCCTCAACTATGGCCACAGAACTTCATTGCTTTGCACAAGTAGATGGAAACAAAACTGCGGTATCTCATCCCCTTTTTGTTTTTTTTGGCGATCAGAAATGATGTTGCTCTCTTGAGACTGGCTAATCCTGTGTACGACAACGGCTACGTGGCCATCGCCGACCTTCCCCACCCTGGGGAGATGCTACCTCATGGGTTCACCTGTTACGTCACCGGCTGGGGACTTATCGACTGTGAGAACACACTCATACTACCGTACTATTGAGTATGCCAGAAAAAACAGTATGTCCCAATACATAGTATGTTAAATGCAGCACAGGATGTCCTATTGCTTCTGGACGCATTTTGCAGTATGTAAGCCAGCATGCTTTTCTTGTTATTCTGACCCACTTTCCTCTGTGCAGCAGATATAAGAGCAAGGGGGTCAAAGTTCAAGAAGCAGTGTTATGAGGAAGTAGTATGTCCCAATTGAATGCACACTGCAAGCAACAGCACTTTGTTAGGGCAGCTGCAGTATGAAAAGATTCATAAACTCCCTCTTCTCCTCTTTTTCCAGACGGAGGAAGCGTGCCTGCAATCCTGCAGGTGGCTCCCATCCCCGTGGTGGAGCATGCAGTCTGCTCCCAGCCTGGCTGGTGGGGCAGCATTGCTCTGAAAACCATGGTGTGTGCCGGAGGGGATGGAGTCATATCAGGCTGCCAGGTAAAGCAAACACATGCGTACTGTTTTGATCTCCATTAATGCAAGACCTTGACCATACAAAATGTTCTTTTTTTGGGATTATTTTTCTATTTTTTCTAATTTAACGGAACACTTTAAGCGACTCAAATGGTCAGTGATCCTGCACTAGTGGCAACTCATTGATCATTCTGACAACAATGCCACCCAGTGGATCTCTGTCTAAGTAAAAGCTGTATCAAACAGGTTTAGTAAGAGGCAACGTCCTACTTCTCATCCTACGGTCTTCAAGCTGGACCCTCTCTTCTTGTGTCTGTTCTTGTTGCTACCTGTCCCAGGGCGACTCCGGAGGTCCCCTGAGCTGTTTCACAGGCGGAGCCTGGAGAGTCCACGGTGTTGTCAGTTACGGTCCAATCGGCATGTGCAACCAAGTGTCAAAACCCACAGTCTTCACCAGAGTCTCTTCCTTCCAAGACTGGATCTATTCAGTGAGCCTCCTAATACCTCTATGACAGGATCCTGAAAATGTCACCACTTCATCTGCATATTTTAGTTGCCTGACTTTTATTTTCTTTGTATGTTTTTGTCCAGGTCATACAATAGATGTCACTGTGTATCCTGTCAAATGGAACGTGGGAAATAAAATCAATTAGCATCTCAGTCATATGTTTACATGCAGTACATCTTTTCTTGTAGTTCTGAATGTAGCCAAACGGTGGCAACAGTGGTTAATGTTTAGATTAAATTATATGCTTGCAATAACCTACTTTGGTTACAACCAGTCTGCAAATAGGCCCACATTTTAAAGGGCCACAGTTTAAGGGTCATTGGGCCAACAGAAGAAGTCATAGTGAAAACCCTGATTTTTTTAACATCCCAATCTGCAACCCCAGTAGATCAAACATTCTTAGCGATGTTTTGATGGATGATTAAGAAGAACGACCAAAGGGAATGGACTTATATTAGGTTTAAGTGGCAAAGCAGCATAGAGGTAAAGCCTTTTTTAATGTAGTCAGATCAAAGAGAACCAAAAATAATTCTTGTAAGATCTACCTAAAGACTTAACAAGAACCACATTTTCTTAATGGTGGCCAAATGTGAGCTATATGCAGTCACTGGCCGACATTTCCGTCTTGTCTGGCATCTCTGGCCATATATTTGTGGTGGTAGCCATGCAGGAGACTACAGCATGACATCACACGCAGTGTTTTTCTCTCAACCATAGAGACCAAAAGCCACAGATGAATTCCAGTGGTTTATACAAATAAAATCCCAAAGAATGTCAATGCATTGAGCACGAACAACACACTGCCTATAATGCAATAGAAAATATACTGATTTTAGTAGGTAAGAACATGAAACCACTGAACATGTTTTCAGTTAGGAAGTCTACATAAAATATGCATAAGATAAATCAAAGAGAGCTGTATGAGCTTATTTGTTTATCCTCTAAACTGCACTAAGGTTTCACTGTATAACAAATCAGCATATGACAAACAACAGCATTTAGAAAATGTTTTTTTATTATTATTTGGAGGGACAGGCTGTCAAAATGGCTTAGATGAAAGAAACTGTTTTGTTTTTTTTAACAGCAGGTTAAAGTGTGAATATGTAAAAAATAAAGCAGCTTTGTTTGCTCTGCAGGACCATTCAAGCAGAAATATGTACAACACAAAAGGCGAAAAGTAAGACACGTTCTTTGAAAATAAAATTAAAAAAAAGCTGTACTGTAATACATTACACTGATAAACACTCACTGTTGCCATTTCTTCATGAGCATTGATGTTTTATACAAGAGAAACAAACGTTTGCTTGCAAAAATCAGTGCCCTCTTCTTGGCGTAAGAACATATATCGGATGGATTTCAAAGTAATTAAAAAAGGCAAAAAGCGAATAATACATTTCCAACGTGCGCTCAGCACTTTTTCAAAGTATACAATTAATCAGAACAAGTTTTAACAAACAGGACCTGCATGCATAATTTCTAAAGGGTCCAGAAAGGCTGTTGAAACAGCTGTAGAAAGGGTGAGATATGTACATCAACTCTCTAGTGTCCTCAACTGTCCTCAACCACACTGGTGACAGAATCACCTTTGAAAGGTCTTGTTCTATTATGAATGAGGCAACGCTTCATTTTGTTAGGGTTTGTATGTGCAATAAAAAGTGTATAATATATGCAGTTTTTATGCACAAAAAACCCTTTACATGTGATATTCAGTACATAATGTAACCCAAGTCACAGACTTCCAAGCAATTCAGAATACAATCAAATTGATCTTTGCAATTTACTTAGTTTTAGTGGCATTTCTAAACATGAGACTGCCTATTAAAAATACTTCAGAATGCTAGAGAGCGATAACCTTCATAAGTGTACATTTCTCTATCATTCATATATTACAAAGTTTGTCCCAGATTGAAAATTACTCATTTTGCTTTCTTAATAAAATATTCAATTTCTAAGTGATTAGAATTCTTTTTTTCAACCTACATAAATTAGTTACAAAATATTAGTGTCATTTTCTATGGTTACATTATAGGCAGCGATACAATAGACCCATAATTTAGTTTCAGTGATTAGGGAGATTCCACAGTTTTCAGTCCCAAAGCTTAAATGGAAGCACTCTGCACACACCATTGGCAGGCATGGCTCCCCTGATAAGCAGGCACATCCAGTAAACTTCACAACACCCCATTTTTATTGCCAAAATGTCTAAAATTAAATAGCTAATGAAATGATGATGTAATAAGTTAGTTAAAAAAAATGTTAAATGTAAAAGAGAATAGATATTAAATACTTTCTGATGGACTTGTGGTCCCATTTCCCAAAGCAATGACTTTACGCGAAATGGAAAGAAAGGAAGGAAGATTGCACTTTTAGGTGAAAATATCAAACCACAGTGCTTCTTGAGTGAAAGTAGGCTTTTATCTGAAATAAATAGAATAAAATCATGAAGGAAATAATTTAAAACAAAAGCAATAAAGACAATAAAAGCTACAGCATTAAATGGTATGAGCATTATTTCTAGTTACCCAGCTCATAAATAAGAAACTCCATAATTTAGCGGTTAACTGTTGAATCGATCCCATACAACCACAACGATGCCTATTCATACATAACTATTTTCACAGATAAAGTGCTGATCGAGGAGCTTTTAGAGGGATTATTTTTTGTACCATACAAGACCCTTGGGAGAGAGATCTTGAGGAGAATGAGTACACTAGCTTCAGGAATCAACACAGGGAGGACCCTATACTCAAGTCATCTGGGTGTAAGCCCAAAGGGAAAACATGAACAGGACTTTGTTGTGATTTGTCTCAGGTTTCATATGAAGGCCATCACAGCAATGGTCACCATACATTGCCTCCAAAAGCTAGAAAGCTAGAAAAAAAATTCCCTGAGGTGCACATTCAGCTGTGTTGAGATTCTCAACCTGGCCCCGGTTAAGGTTGATTCCTGTTTAGCATATGGTTTGCTGATCTTGGTTTGGTTAAAAGAGCTTTCTTAGGAACTGAGAGCCATCATTGGTTTCTATAGGCCTGGTCAAATTGATCTCTGTTTTGCATCTTTTCACTTTCAACACTAGCTGCCATCTCACACAGCAATAATCCCAAACTACTTTGCTAACGTTTTGAAGGCAAGTGTGGAATTTGAACATTTATTAGGCAAGAGGGAAATCACAGCTTCCTCCAAATATCACGTTGACATTAAATTCTTATGTGCATGTTCGGTCCCCTCCAAAACTCCTGTCTTTTTTTTCTTGCACTGTCCACACATTTTCACGTTTTGTCAAACTTTCACAGACTCCATCACAGACAATTTCATGGCTTCCTCCAACAGCTGATTGTCTGTAAATGTGGCAGGGGGTTCTGGAACGGATTCTGAAAGGCCAATCAGCGACTCCAGGAGGCAGGTCCCGGGGTCGCTCGCCGGAGGGAGGCTGGGGTAACTAGGAAACTGAAACTGAAAAAAGTTGTCCATGTGTTCATACTCCTTGAGGGAGTTGTAGAGTGAGCTGGGCCCCAAGCAGGGGAAACCGTCAAAGAACTCCAGGTCGGACTCCGAGGAGAGACTCAGGTCCATGTTGTAGCTCGCTGAGCGGTCGACGGTTGGGGAGGGCGTGCGTGGCACACTACTGCTATGGAACAGGCCGTTTCCCTGGTTGGCGTTCTCGTCCAAAAGTTCTGAGATGGCTGTGACTCGATTGTCTGTGTGATCGTCTAACAGTGCGGAATCTATATTGTCATTCTCGTCAGCAAAGTCCACCATGCTGAAGCTACTAAAAGCCTCCATGCATGGCTGCTGTTGTTCTTGCCGTTGATCTGGGCAGCAAATACCTTTACAGTCCCCACCGCCCCTGCTACTTCTTGAGCCGTTCTCTGTGTCGCTGAAACTCAAAATACGGCTCAGGCCTTTCTCATCCACATCCAGGTGGGTGCGATGCTCACACCGGCTCTCGCCTGCCTCAGAGTCCTCACTCTGACCAGAAGAGTCTGATAAGTCCGTCATATCGCTGCTGCAACTGTGCTCTCCAGCTGCCGCCAGTTCTGAACTAAAGGGGAAAGAGGCTGGCAAGGTGGTTGTGTTCTCCTCCTCCTCCTCTGTGCTTGACTGCTCCTCCAGCCTCTTCTCCAGCTCCAGCTTCATGATAGTATGGATGTAATGCGTCTGTACCCTAGTGGAGTTGAACTCAATGCGACCTTCTGTGTTCCCGCAGCCGTCCTTGGTACAGCCACATGGGAACGAGGAATGATCCATCTGTGGGGAGCAGAAGGAAGGAGTTAAATTACTTGAGAAATGCGGATAAGAAGTCCCAATCGTATTGTGATTTGGAGCCCTTGTTGTTGAACCACAGTTTAGGTTTTTTTTTTTGGCTTACCTGACATTTGATGCCGGCCAGGCTGCAGCTACATGTCTCAGGCTCGCAAAAGCCCTGGCAGTCGCAACCGCAGTTCTCCCTGGAGATTCTCAGCTCATGCAGCTGCCGCTTCTCCTCCTTGTCGATCTTCTTCACACCAGCGGCTTTGAGCAGTGCGTAGCGGCGTTTAGGCGGATAAGGCTGGAGGAAATAGCCCTCGTCCAAATTGACCCCACTGATGTCGATGTCCTGCTCGGGGATGTCGTCCACCGTTAGGCGCTCCGCCTCCTCATTCTCCTGGGTTCCATTCTTAGTCAGCTGGAGAGACATCAAATGAATGATTGTTGCATTGAACTTGTGCATCAGAATTTAGGGATTTTTACAAATGATCTGACACGCTTGAGGGCAACTTTGCTCACCTTCAATTTGAGAGCCTCCAGCTTTTCCTCCCTGAGTCTGTTGAGGAATTTTTCCCTGCGTAGGAGCCGCTGCTCCACAGCAAACTCAGCAAGCGTATACGTGCGTAGCACGCTGTGTCGCTGCATCATGCCCAGAGTGCACCCTCCACGACTGGGAACGCTGGTGAAGCCTTGGCACCGAGGGAAGAAGAACACCGTCACCTGGTCAAAGGTCACGTTGCCCCGTCGTGCTCTCTTGGATTTCTTAAGGATGGATGTTGCTGTAGATGAAGAAAGATTAGATTTAGAATACAGCTTTTCCAAGAAGGGGAGTGGTGTTTAAACAGACGGTTATTAGTGCATTCTTTTGAACAGCCTCAATTGCTTTTATGTGCCACTAGATGGCAT